TTGTCTATAGTTTCTTTTATTTCCCAAGTGGAGTCGACTAAAAATTTGCAGGTGCCAATTGGTCTTTGAGTGGAACCTCTTCGAACTCCCACTCAAAGAGGGGCAGCTGTTGACACCTAATTTTTAGCCAACGCGTCATTAAAAATAGAAAATTCGAGATTATGGTTTCCGATCGCGACGGAGCTCGTTTCTTGAACAAAAAGTGTCATTTTTTTAATTCTGTCTGTTGGCTTAGCCTCTATAAACGATTTTCTATTCATTTCATGCAAAAACCCGAAAAGTCAAACAGTTGACTTTTGAGTTGACTTTTTGGTCAACCCTTTGATCAAAAGTCAACCCTTGGTCAAATTGGGGCTTTTCGCATAAAAAGATTCCTTTTAAGTCCAATTTCACTTTAGAAGTGGAAATTTCAGAAAAATTCAGAGATTTGATCATAAAATCAAGCTCCTAGTGAAAAGTCAACTAGGGTTTGACTTTTGGTCAAACCTTTGACCAAAAAAATTGAAAAATACAAAAATCCAAAAATCATCTTATTTTACATTCAATTTACCTTTGGCATTTGAAATTTTACAAAAATCGATTTAGAATCAATTTTTTCCCAATTTGCGGAATTTGGTTCAAATTGGCCAAAAATGAAATTACTTCATTTCTAGTCATTTTTTAGGTTAGTTTCCTTCATGACATTTGATCTATAGGTCATCTTATATTCAATTTTGGAACCAATTTTGTAATTCAAGCCAAACACAAAAACCCCCAATTTTGGCCATAATCAGTTATTTGGATTGATTCTTCATGATTTGCACAATTGAGGCACGAATGAGCCTAATTTCTTATATGAAGTCCAAATCCAAAATCAATTTTGGAAGATTCACATGAATTTGAGTCAATTTGATCAATTTAGTGATCTAATGATTAAGAAGTCTAAGAGTAATTGATCCAATTAGTGCAATTCAACTTGACCCACTCTAGACTAATATTCAATTTGATGAATTGAGACTCAATTTGGTTAATTGGACTTCAATTAAATTTGTTAGTCTAGCTTGGCCATGCAATTACCCAAATTCAAGAGCAATTGAGACAAACAAGTTAAATTGGATCAATTTGTGCATCGATTCAATCCAATTTGATTGAATTTGATATTGATGGGGTCAATTAATCATGATAGAGAACAAATTGTACCAAATCGGAACAAATGGAATCAAGGATTGAACTAGTTCAATCATGCCAAATTCGGGGCTAACCGGCTCAACCCGGTTTGATTCAAATTGAATCGGTCCGATCAGACTGGCCATTTTCCGGTCGAAAATCCGGCGATTGACGGTCCATTCCGACTAGCCAAGGCCGGCCACATCCTTTTGAGCCCAAAAATGACAAAAATGCCCTTAATTGAAAATTACGAAAATGCCCCTAAGTGAAAATTACCAAAATACCCTTCATTAAGGATTAAGCAAATTAATTAGGGGATAAGCAAATCAATCATGGCCATTCATTTAGAATTGATCATGTCCATCCATGATGCCATGTCACCAATCCTTAGCCCTTAAAGAATATTCTTAATCATTAAGGATGCATTTTAGGCCATTGGATCAATCTAAGGGCTAAGATTCAAAGTTGAGGGGAGTATATAGTGTTTTTTCCCTCCAAAATTTGGGGGGGACACTCATTTTCAGATCTGGATTCTCTCTCCTCTCTCTCTCTCTAAACTCACGTTCTCTCTCTCTTTCTCAAAGCTCACGCATCTCTCTCTCTCTCTCTCGTTCTCTCCCGGTCACCGGCCATCCCTCCTCATCGCCGGTCATTTTCCGGTGGATCACCGCCTCACCGTCGTCCCCCACGGTGTCACGAGGTCAGTCGCAGCACCAGCCCAGCCTGCTGGTGGCCGGAGCTTCTCATTCCGGCGAGTTTACCTTCACGGCAGCATCACCAGTGTTGCTGCCGGTGATTTGATCCGCCGGTTCAAGCGGTTGAACCGGCCAACCAGCGTTCCCTCAGGCGATCCAGAACCTCCAGCAGTGTTCCTCGGCGTCTTCATGTGGCTGTGGTGGCCGGTTTCTCGTTGAACAGCCACCGGATCGTGCCTTTTGATTTGATTCTCTGTTATTAGTTCACTTGTGCGAAAACGAATCGATTCTCACTATAGTTTGTGCAATCTATTATCATAGGTTGGCCGATCTTTCCGAGACTTCTCCGTGCTGTTCTTGATCTGAATATGGAGGCCGGATCGCTCGATTGTGCGTCGGGGCATCGTTAAACAAGGTAAGTTCACTTGAATGTGGTTCTGTGAATTCGTATCCAGGTAGACCTGCATGTTTGAGATGCTGATTTGAGCTCGTTAATGTCGAAATCTGACAAAGTGATGAACTAGAGAATCGTAAAACGCGTCTCAAGCTTCGATTTGATATATGGCATGCCTCAATCGGACTTAATTTTTTATGTCAAAAGACTTTCGGAAGTTAGGATCAGAATCTGGATTGTGATGTTCAAGTCTGTTCTGATGATTTCCTGATTGACGTTGTGCTGTTTGATGATTTTTCTGATTTTCTACGATCATTTTTTGAAAAAATATTCTTCATGAAAGTTGTAAAACACATCTTAATATATTCATCATAAAATTTTCGTAAAATTCCAAGCATGTTATCCCGGTACGATCTGCAACGTCATTTATGCATGATTCGGGTGACAGACTAGTTTCTGATTGACCTTCGTGTGTTCTTCGATTTTCATAAATTCGTGTGTTCAAAATATGGAAAACTTTTTTTCAGAAAAGTTCACACTGAGATCGAGATCTTTCTATTGATACTAATTTCATCAAAATCGGAATTCATTCGAATTTTCAAAAGGAATTTTCATTATCTAATCAGTATCTGTGTTCAGATCTGATTTTCATTCCTTTGGAATCCAAAAGATGTTTTTCCGAATTTGATAAAGTTAGAGTCCTCTTTTGCAAAAAATAAAAATTAAAAAGTCGTTCATTGGGGTCTCATTATGTTGACTGCAAATTTTGAGGGCCTAATAGCAATTTTTGGAGGATCAATTTGCTTAAAATTTCATAAAAGGTCTTCTCGGGTTAAAATTTGATTTGCAATTGAGTCCTTTGCAAAAACCGAATTTTATAAAAAATTGGAGGACTTTTCAGAAAAAACTCAAAACATGAAATTTGTTGCACACGAAGAATCCTAACTTCCTAAAAATGTTCATGCGGTTTTGATAAGGTTCGTTTTTTTTCCCGCCATTATTTTGAAATCCTTAACAGAACCGAGTCCAGCCTGTCACTGAGATCAAATTTGATATTTTCGGGAAAATAAGCTTGGATTTAGAGAAAATGGCCTTCTTGAATTTCGATCCTCATGTCATAACCTTTCTAATGACACCTGAATCATTTCATTTGGACGTCATTAGGGTGGTTAATCACATCTGAACAGAAGCAATCCGAATTAGATAATAACTGAATAAGTGGTCTCCTTATGAAGCCCACCTCTCATTGTTTGATTGGCTTCGAAATAAGGCCCATGGGCCTGAATGCGTGCTTATTTCATTGCTATGCATGTGTTTGTTAGATGAATGTTAGGCCCGGTGCACGTTTGGCGGGTAGTCCATTGTGGTCACTTAGAACCCGACTTTAGGGGTTAATTGATATGAGTTGCCGTTTTGTGAATGCAAATGGTAGCCTGTTATCATTAACCATTGATCAAATAATATTAGATGATTAGGTGGGTGGTGAATCGAAATGCATGAAAAACAAAGGCCGACCCCGAGGCCCGTGCTTGATTAGTGAATTGTTTGCACCATTGTTTTTCTTTGGTTATTCTTTTGGACATTGTTTGCCGCGAATGTATGTTGTGAATGTAAACGCCGACACCCGAGAGACGGTCCATGGGAAGATAATCCAAAATGGTGAAAGACCAAGACGATTGACCGATGCCCAATCCGGTCTCAATTTGTATTCATTTAATGATGGCGATAGACCGATGTCTGATCCGGTTTCAATTTTTATTCAATTCATTCATTCCCGATCACGTCTCGGGTTTTCAATTCGTGTTGTAATAAACACCCGACGAGTTGCGGGTTTTTTACTTTCTCGCACTTAGAATTAGCTCGTCTTTTCAATACTTTGAGTGTTTACTTTACGTAATGCCTTTCAATACAATCGTTTCTTTCTTTCTTTTCTAGACTAAGATAGGATTAGTTTAGAATCTTAAATGAAAACAATAAAAACAAGATGCATGATTATGGACCAAAACTTTGGCATGAAAATGGTAAAGAACAAATGCATGACAACTTAGATAACAGCCATGTTAAGTTTAGCGGTACCGAAAGGGCGTTAATAGAAATATTAACATAAGCTAGTCCCCGAACCTTTGATCTCTGGTTTTCGTAGAAACCAATACGAAATTCCCACGTATTGGTTAGGTATTCTAGCCGACCTCCGACCTAGGCTAGTGGCAACTCCTTAAAAGATAAAATTGATCCTCTGTCCCGCGAGGTATGAATTAGGGAAGATTCACGTTCATGAATAATGGACTGTACGGATGAACCATCTTTTATGATGTACCGTATAGACCGTTTCTTGAACAATTACCTCTAAACCCGCCCCATCGAGTTCGGCCCTCGAGGGGTAGGTCGCGACAAGTGTGCATGAGAATTCTATTATGTCGATTACTAGATTGCATGCTGGGACTCGTCTGGGTATGCATTGGCATATGTGGGGTATAGGTTGTTTGTTTATTGAGATTTATTCTCATTGCTGTAGTGCAAACCATTTCACATCCCTGACCCCGACCTTAATCATGTCGCCACCTCATCATTTTGGGGTCCCTATGCATACGGTGCATGAGGAGACCGAGTATCCAGTAGGTCCAAATCAGACTTACATTAGGCACCTCACTACAGTCTGGGTAGATGTGGGCTTAGAGGACTTGCAGCGCCACACTTACCTGGCCTGGTTTTATCGTGACGGGTTGGAGCTAGTTGGCCCAATCCGGGGTTTTGAGGGATAATAGCACGGCAATGAGGATGCCGTGGATTGGGAGCCTGGGGACGTGTATGCTCCTGATGGAGAGATTCTGGATGCCGAAGATCTCCCGGAGAACCTTGGTCCCGAACCCGTGTCTGCGGATCTCGAGCTCGAAGAGGAATTTGAAGAGCCCGAGCCTGTGCCAGAGCCTGTGCCAGAGCCCTTGGAGTCCGAGCACGAGGAAGAGCCGATCGAGATCAACTTTGACATGGAGTCGGAGTCTTCAGGGTCTGATTCAAATTGGGCACCGTAGGAGCATTTGAGTGCTGGGCTTAAAAGCTTTTTGGGAGAGCCCTTTTTTGTGCAGCTAGCTAGCTTACCCTACCACCTGTCCCTTTTTTATGATGATGGTGGATGTTAACCCTCGGAACCTAATGTCTGACTGCTTTCCATTGTTATGAAATTATTGTTTTGTACTATTACTATCCCTCTGTCATTGTCTTTTGTCTGGGTTGTTTTATTTCGCTTCCGCTTACGTATTCATGTGGGTATTCCGTTTGGGTCGGCGACGCGTCCTGGGACATCGCGTTCGATACGACCGCCATAGGGGTGTCGCGAGCCCATTAGGGTCCAGGGCGTGACAGATCGTTTCATAAATACTTACCTCTAAACCCGCTTCATCGAGTTCGACCCTCGAGAGGTAGGTCGCGACAATAGGATCTTTAATATAAATGGGATACCCAAAATAAATAAAAAACCAAAACATGTGATATTCTTCATTATGGCAATTAGATTCTGCATGGAGACATAAAAAACTAAAAGAAGAAGGAAAGTAAATTAAAGTGATAAGTAAACTGGAAGTCCTAAAACTTGACACGAAAGTGCAATCGAATTCTAAAACTTTCAAAAAGTGCAATCAACGGAATCATTTGATTGGACTAATTTGATAAGTTTTAGGACTGGATTGCACTTTTTGAAAGTTTTAGGACTCAATTGCACTCAATTGCACTTTCGTGACAAGTTTTAGAACTTTCAATGGATTTATACCTAAATTAAACTTAGGGCTACCACTTTAAATTGCAATTGAATAGTTGAGGGCAATTTTGTCTTTCTATTAAATACAAGGTGGATTAAGTCATATAGGGGGTGGCAATAGTGTGGCCCTTTTATTTTTCTAAAAGATAATTTGTGGAAGGTGACAACTTGAAGAGATTATGTGACATTCTGAAATTCGACTCATTTTTCGGGATTTATGAAATGATTATATCTTCGATGCATTTTAGTTAAATCTCACTCGGAATTGATCACTCTTGAGAAGACTAATCATTAGGGAATGGCTAACTCGGAATTAAGTATGTGGACCTAAGAACTTGGCCGTGAGTCGACACTTCGACCACAAGGATTGACGAGAAGATATTTTGGACTGCTATAGACCGATCCAAGGATGGTTATTCAACGATTCGCAAATGTTGTATAATTGAATCGCAGGTGAATCCGCTTGACCATTGTATGAATTTCGAACGATCCTAAACCTAATCCGAACGATCGCGTCGATTGGAACTAGTGATTGATCCTCGCAATTATATGACAACCGAGATCGCCATGGCTCAAGTAAACTTAGATGTGGCTCGATATCGAATCGGTCACGAGTCGATACGCGTAACTCCTAAAAGCCGCTCGTTAGTTTGAGACACACTAAAGTTGCATTTAATCGAATTTGATTATTACTTGGAATCCAAACTTGGGAATCGAATTTCTCGAAAGCCACAACTAACTCATTGGACGACATCACATTTGGCGTGGCCAACCTTAAGGCCACTCGAATTTGTCGGAAAAGTGAAATTTGGATCGAGCGTGGAAAATGACCATTCTGCCCCTGGGATTGTTTGAGTTCATTTGAAAAGTGAACGGGCATTTTGGTAAAGTTACTGCTCCCATACTGGCCTAAAATGTTGGACCATAGTGCCCCTCTCTCCTCTTGCTCATTTCCTCTTTTGCCCCTAAGAGTTAGTGGAGTTGACCAATGTGAGCCATTGGTCTTTGATGAGATTGTCTAATTAATCCTAGCCCTTGGATTGAGTCATAGTGGGGGTAGTTGACCCACTCAAGTCACTCAACTCACCATCTCTCTCTCTCTCCTCTCTCTCTTCTCCTTCCCCCACTGACTTTCTCCCTCCCCCCACGCAGCTAACACCCCCATCGACTCCTCTTCTTCTTCTTTTCCTTCTTGGCTTCTGCTCTTGCTTCGTGTCTTTTGCTTCTTCTGCTTCTGCTTCTGCTTCGCTACTGCTGCTGCTTCCATTTCTGCTTCTGCTTTCGTTTTGCTTCCGCTGCTATTCTGTCGACCTTGTTGCTGCCCCTTTCCCCTGAGTCATTATTATCTAGACTTGAGGAAAGTCGCTTCCTAACCCTTGACTAGGCTAAGGGGTTACTAATGGACATGTTAGGGGTTGATTCATGGCTGTGGATAGTTGGTTTAGTGGTTAGATGAGCTTGAATTGCTGAATGGTTCATGTTGGTTGATTCTCGGATTCGTTGCTGCTATGCGTCTGTGTTTTACTATTTTTGTGGAGATCAATGTTTACCGAATTTTAGGAAGTGTTCTTCATGGAAGTTAACCCTAACATCTTGAAGTATGTCATATATTAAATCTGGAATTTTTGGAGACCTTTTTGGGGTATTTGGAAGTTCATTTTCGGACCATCACCACTCTGCTGAATTTAATGTTCACCCGACCGGCGTGTCTTTCTAAATTTTTATAAAATTTTCCAGGTCTCTTTTCAACAAACTTCCTTCATAAAAGTTGTCAATGGAACTTTTTTATATGACATATAAAAATTTCAAGGTTTTCCAAGGATATATGGGTACTTATTGAAAGGGATTTATAAGGCCAAACGGTCTACCCTAGTAGGCTAATTTTCGATCTGACTTTGGGTGACAAAAAAAGCTGTTTGCAGCCGGAATTGGATTTCGTGTCCTCATAAAAAAATATTTATCAAGATGTTTTCGATGATATATCCAAAATTCATAATTTTTGGAGCTGAATTAATATTTATTTCAAAAGATTTCGATTACTGTGCAATTGCCAATTTTAAGCCGATTCTGTGCAAATTTGATTTCTCTCTCCCGGGAACTTTTCGATGTGGTTGTTGCACGTGAGGGAGTGACTGATTGTGAAGGTGTGTTCATGGCTTTAATTGGTGGAACCATGGCTGATTTGGTGGGCATGTAAACTGATTTGCATCGTTGGTGATTGAGCACATTCGAGTGATGTTTGAGCGCGTGAATGACATGGAATTGAATGGGTCATGTGGCATGTGTGATTACCTAAGTGCCCTGATGCGTCTTTACGCGGGGAAGAGATAATAAATAATGTGACGAAGTGTACGTGTGATCACTTAAGCCCTGATGCGTCTTTTCGCGGAGATTGAACCCGTCTTGAGCCGTGTTATGCGGGATGATGCTCGGTAAAGTCGGAAGACCGCCAGCTGGATGTGTTTTATGATGGATGTGCCACGGGCCTGATGCGTGTTACGCAGATCGTGACTAATCTGAACGGAAAAGCGGGTGCATGTTGTGTATTGGTGTATGTGGTGCATCGAGACTGAGATGTGATCATGTTCGGATTATTGCTATTACACGTGCATGTGTAAGTCTTATCTAGGATTGTACGTGCCCGTGAGTTATTGCTGCATTATTGCGATTTGACTAACATGCAGGGCTTGTGTATGTTCCGAGATGAGGTAGGGATGTCTGTGTTTGTCACGACATGTTGATAGTTTGAATCTCGTGCTTAGACTTGTCCGGTAGTACGTGTTGGCCTATGCGGGGCTTAGGTTGTTCACTTATTGAGACTCGTTCTCATAGTTGATTGTGAACCATTTCAGACCTCCGACCATAACTCTGCCACCTCGACGTTTTGGGGTCCCAATGCATATGGATCATGTGAAGACCGAGTATCCAGTGGGTGTAGATATGGCATACATTAGGCATTTTACTACAGTATGGGTAGATGAGGGCTTAAAGTTCTGGAGGCCCCACCATTTACTAGCCTAGTATTACCGGGTGGGGGCGGAGATCATTAGCCCAATCCATGGCTTTGAAGGTCCCCACCACGGCGGTGCGGATGCTATGGATTGGGATCCCTCTGAAACTTTTGCCCCGGATGGCAAATTCATCGACCCTGAAGACCCTATCCCTAAGCCGAAACCCATGGAACCTGATCCCGAGTCGGAGCTTGAGGAGTTCGAGCCGGAGGAGGAGCTTGAGTCGGAGGAGGAGCCCGTGGAGGACGATGACATGGCTGAACCTAAGACGCCGCCGGGGTATCGTGAGGACGAGTGATCGGTGTAGTAGCCCGTCTTTTGAGGAACCCTCTTTTGGTATAGGGAAGTTAGGCTACCCAACCACCGCCCCTTTTTGATGAACGTGGTTTGATGTTAGTGGCCTAGTTTAAGGTTGTGTAAATAAATGTTGTAAGTATGCCAAATGTATGAATATGTTTGTTGTCATGTGATCGAGCGTGTTTCTTACTATCCCGCCTTTGTGAATTGTTATATGGGGTGTTTGAATTCGTTTCCGCTTGTGCATGATCGTTAGTGTTTCTCTAAGTTGGTGACGAGTCCTGGGACGTCGCACTATTATCGACCGTGGCGGGATGATGCGTGCCAGTGGGGATCAAGGCGTGATAGATTATCCCAAAACATTGCATACTATATTTGATATTACTATCCCCTTATAAATAGGTGCATGCTTTTCCTTGTATTGCCACCAACATCACTATCATGACTTTACTTTCTTGCAATACCTTAGATTATGATAAGGCAAAATACCAAAATTGGCATAGAGGCAGTAAGGAAAGAATTCCCAATATGTCAATTTGAAAAAGACACCTCATTAAAATTCATCATTTGTGAAGTAGCAATTCGATAATGTGAAATAGTTTTTATATTAAGTTGATCTTGTTTATCGAAACAGTTTTATATGAAAGAGCAATATAAAATAAATAGCAAATATATATATGTCAGTTGTGGCATAACTTTTATGGTAACTGGCAATTTAATTCCTTCAAAAGGTCGATATGTGACGTTGTTATTGTATACCATATATTCGAAGCAATTTCCATGTAAAGAAAATTAAGCATTTGGCCATAAAAAAGGCTGGCGTTATTTTCACTCTCTTATTGGCTCCTGACACTCGCTCATCACATTAAATTGACTATATTATCCCTTACAAATCTACTCTCCATTTAAGATTATTTCTTACCTTTTCTAAGATTATTTCTTATCTTTTTTTCTTCTTTTTCTTTTCTTTCAATTTTATCAATAGACAAAATTACCCACATCCCTTTCAAACAACTATTTTCATGCTAGCCGTTTCTTCAACAACCATTACATTTAACATCCTTCATGTTTGTATGCATCTAAACCTATTATGCCAATAATTAACTTTATTTCCCTAGATAATCCTCATGATGGTGAATTTTTCGACTTCGATTTTTGGTACAAAATTACTCAAAGATTGAATATTTAGGTTGATGAATGCATTACACAATTTACTCATCTTTCATTGTATTACTTTTGAAGTGTAGTCACTATAGAAGACAATATTGAAGAGGATCCAAATTGCTTATATATATATATTGATGATGAAATGCGAATGGAGAACAACAATTAATCATGGCATGGAAAATATCATGCAATGATGGCATGAAAGATAATTAAATATTGGACTATCATATTCACTTAATAAAATGAAAGTTGATCAATTAAAATACACTAACTACAATATAATGACACATGTTAAAGTTACGATTAAACAAAATGTGTACTAAAACTGGTAGATGATTTTTGTTAGTCTTACTTGTGCTTAGGTTATTTTTTAAATATTAGTTTCCTCATGCAAAAAAGGAGATTATACAGCTCATTAACATAATAATTAGTTAGCCATCTACTAAATAAACTGTTTTACGAAAAAGAGGGACACCAATTTTGTTCCAAATGAAGAAAGAAAAGGAAAAAAACCAAAAAAAAGAAAAGAAGCCAACAAATAATTTAAATCAAGAGTGGGCCACACATTTAATTTTAATAAAGGTTATTTGAGAGGATCATGGGTAGTTTCGTCTCTAGCAAAATTTAAACAAAAGAAAATGAAGACAAAAAAAGGTAAGAAATCATCTCAAATCAAACGTGGGACCTACAAGGAATAATGTAGTCAATTCAATATAATCAAAGGTGCCAGGAGCTAATAAGGGGGTGGAAACAGCGTGGGCCGAAAAAGATTCTCAATCTTTTATTACAAAAAATGGTGATTACAATTTTATGTTATCTTCAAATCTTACTTTCCTAATTAAGATTTTTGCCCAATTTATGCTTCCAATGGAACTTTTGTTTTAAATGTCTTACTAAAAATACAAATTTCAATTTGGCTTCTTCATTGTAAGGAACTTATTTATAGAGAAAGGCAAAATATGGTGAGAAATACAAAGTTGAGCCTTAAAATTATGAAAACATTTATTTCATGCACATATTGGAAAATCAACCTTTCCATTGAATAATTCTTACTTTTTGTGAAAAAATAATTTCATGGAAGGTGACAACTCGAAGAGATTATCCCAAAACCTTGCATGCTATTTTTGACATCACTATCTCCTTATAAATAGGTGCATTCTTTTCATTATTGTCAAACCGCATATGATAATACTAACATAAGCTTACTATCTTGCATTTATCCTAGATTATTCTATTTAATCATGGCAGGTAGACGGACAAGAGGACGTCAAAAAATCGAGATGACACAAATTGAAAATGAGGATGATAAGCTCATCACGTTCTCCAAACGTAGATCTGGCATCTACAAAAAAGCAAGTGAGCTTGTAACCCTCTGTGGTTCGGATGTGGGAGTCGTTATATTCTCTCCAACTGGGAAACCCTATTCATTTGCTCATCCCTCTATTGAATCGACTGCAAATCGATTCCTCGACCAAAACCCTCCACATAATGATCGAACTGACACTTTGGTTGAGTCCTATCGTCGACTTAGGACTAATGAGCTCAATCAACAACACGATGAGCTCGTTAAGCAAGTCGAAGCTGAGAAGGCACGAGGTAAAGTGCTGAAGCGAGTGACCGAAGGACAGAACGGCGAGGGATGGTGGGAAGCTCCCGTTGAAGACCACAACGTGGAAGACCTCAACCAAATGAAGGCACAAATGAAGGAGCTTCGGCGGAATTTGTGGAGTTCCATTAATCGAAGGAATCAAGGAGCTACAACAATTCAAGGAGAAAGTTCAAATCAGAGAAACCCTTGAGAAAGTCAAAATCATGAGCTACATCAATTCAGCGTTGACTTTTGTTTGATTTGTACTTGACATATGATGAGAGATTTCGGATAATATTACTACATATTTCACATATACCTTTAAGACATTTTTGTTCGCAGACTTAAAAATCTAGAATAGATTTGTAGAGCATATGTCAAGTTTGACATGTTAGCGAGTGCAATTCTTTAAATTTGTCTCAAGTAGGGTTTGAAATTTCATTTTCTTGGAAAATTTTACTTACGGAATTTTCTTTGCTCAATGAAAAGGGGCCGACAACTCCTTGGATTTTTTGTGTTTACTTAATGTACGTGATCCTATCCTTAGAGAACTTTCATTTGGAATAAAAAGGAAATAAAGCTACTGCTGAAACGCCTTTTCCCTCTCCCTCCTATTTTCACACAGCTTTCTTCTTCAATCTCCATAGTGGGGAGGGTTTGAGTTAGATCTCTCCCTCCCCTCCCTTTTTCCTTTTTCTTTGGCTGATTTGATTCTCCGTTATCTTTTTCTGGCTTTCCTCCCGTTTTGAGGAGTTTTCTCTTCTAATCTAGTCTAGATCTAGAAGTTTCTCTCTCCTATTTTGGGGAGGTATCTATCCTGATCTAGTCTAGATTTGGGGTTTTTTTGAGTATGAGTTTGGGGTTTCTCTTTTCTCAGGTTTTGTTTGTGTACAAGTCCCATTTCGAAGGAGATCATAGGAGTTTCTTGAAGGTTTCGCTCTCACAGGTGTCAAATTTGTGCGTGTTCAACCTCGTTACTTTGCGCGGCAATGGTGTTGGGGATGCCGAACCTAGGCTCGGACTGCCGAAAGGTAAAGTTGTAGCAACAGATGGAGATCTCGGTGTGTATTCATTATTGAAGACGAATTCGGTGATCGGCCGCCAATTTTGGTTTGAAGAAGTCTTAGATCTACTCTTTAAGCGCGTGACCAATAACCTTGTTCTGATGATTTATTGTTTTGTTGTCTTGGTTTGCAGTTAGATATCTCTATTGTATATGCGTGGAAATGAATAAAATGTTTCTTTGACAACAAAAATGAATAAAAAGGAAGCTTTAATTTGTTTTGCTTCTAAATCTTGGTTCTAATATCTACATCATAGTTTTTTCATGCTTATATATACATATATATACATATATAAATATTCATATGTCCAAAGCATTGATACTTTCCCAGATTAAAGATCCAATGAAACTCGCACTTGTACTGATGCAAAAATTAATCAAATCATAAAATAGTACAAAAAGGAAGTCAACTTTAAAATAGGATGACTGACATGGATGGTTCTCGAATTTTTTTGTTCAATCTAGTCATTGAACTTTAAAAAAAAAACACTCCATGTACTCCTCGCATTAAAAATCCCAATACCGTTAGATGCCATGACTATAATTTCTGTTAATTTGAGATTAGATGGTGGCATCGACTTGGCTTATATATGTATGTATATGTATGTATATAAGAAAAAATAAATAAAAGATACGGTGACTTGGAAAAACGACGTGACAATCCACATCACTAGTTTGGCCAAATAAAAAGTTACATGGCAGTCAAAAAATGCAACAAGTGGCGATGCACTTCACGAAAAAATCACTTTGATCAGATTTTTTAAAGTTAAGTAATTAGATAGAGCAAAACAGGTTCAAGGACTGCATTGAATTCTGAAAAAATATTCAAGGATCACCAATGTCATTACCACATTCGAAACTAAAGTAGTCACACACATAGTCATATTAACCGACACAATAAATTGATGTTTTTGTCAAAAGGATTAGAGGTGTGCAACTGAGTCAGTTCAACCTTAGAATCGACAAGACTAGTTGGTCTGGGTATAGGTTGATTCCAATTGAACTGATCTATGTTTTGATTCCAAATTTTGGAACTAACTAAAGGAACCTATTCAGCAGCATGGAAAGTAAATTGCATTGGTAAGAATATTACTTGGAATTGAATATACATGTCACGCCCCGAACCCTACGACGCGCGAGCATCCCAACCGAGGTCGAAGTTGTACGACGTCCCAGGACGTGTCGCCGACCCAACACTCAACACAGAGATCAAGACACATGCGGAAGCAACATAAACACCCGTACAATTTAAAACACGTGACCGAGGATAGCACAAACAACAAACAACATTATAAATATACACTTGCATTAACATCAGGGTATCATATACAATATCCATTTAACACAAGATACATAATAAACCAAAAGCGGGTCAACGGCCACTACTGACAAAAAGGGGTAGGTGGTCCGGGCGGTCAGCCTAAACACTAATCTAAGGAAGGGCTCCGGTCGAAAAGGTACTGGCCCGACCTAACTAGGGATATGGCTAAACCCTAAGGTACCCAGTCCGTGTCAGTTCCCGAGGACTCGGAAGAACTGTCAGACAACTCAACCTCGGAGTCCATGGAATCCAGCTCGGACTCGGCCTCGGCCGATGTCACGCCCCGTACCCCACGAAGGATGAACATCCGCGTATAGGTCGAAATAAGATGCAACGCTCCCAGGTTACGTCACTGCCCGAAAACCCAAATCAGAGAAAACACGCCACATGCGGAAACGACGTATGTATAATATATATATATATACACCCAGACAATTTAAAAGCAACCATGAATAGCAACGAACAACAATATACAAATGATTAAAACGATATATACATTCATTAAAACCAGAGATACAACAAAAGGGCCATGAGTACAAAAAGAGATCGGTGGCTTAGGGAGATCGGCTAAACACTAGAGGGCTACAGTCAAAAGGTATCGGCCCTCGCTCCTAAAACTGAGGTCTGCCCTAGGTATCCAGTTGGGGTCAGATCCAGACGTCTCGGAAGAACTCTCGGACTGCTCTGACTCCTCCTCTGAACTCATAGCCTCAAACTCTGTCTCGGGCTCAGTCTACTCATGGCCGGGGATCTGAAATGTCGGTTTTACCACAACCGTGAGAAAACTCAGCAAGTACAAATCACTAATCCTAAACTAGGCTAATGTGCACATCAAACCATGAACCAGTAAAACAACATTAATTTACCCGAGCTCACAGCCCAATATATTGTCTCATAGCCCTGCAGGTTAGGCATTTAACATCAATGCAAATCACGTGCAATTATACCGACCCGTAGGCCCGACCCGAAGGTCACAAGAGATTATAACGACCCGTAGGCCCGACCCGAAGGCCACAATTTGAATATATCGACCCGTAGGCCCGACCCGAAGGCCACAATTTGATATAACGACCCGTAAGCCCGACCCGAAGGCCACAGTTTGAATATATCGACCCGTAGGCCCGACCCGAAGGCCACAGTTTGATATAACGACCCGTAGGCCCGACCCGAAGGCCACAGTTTGATATAACGACCCGTAGGCCCGACCCGAAGCCCACAGTTTGATATAACGACCCGTAGGCCCGACCCGAAGGTCACAGTTTGAATATATCGACCCGAAGGCCCGACCCGAAGGTCCACAGTTGAATAAAGCGACCCGTAGGCCCGACCCGAAGGCCAACAGATTGATAAATCGACCCGTAGGCCCGACCCGAAGGTCACAAGTGATTATAACGACCCGTAGGCCCGACCCGAAGGCCACAGTTTGAATATATCGACCCGAAGGCCACAGTTGAATATAACTCAAACATGTACATCGTTTCACTTAATTTCAACCAATCATAACTTGATATGCAAAACATATGTTCGGGAATTTGTGTCGATACCCAAGGCGACATGCCGAATACAATTATTCCCCAAGTCAATGTATCTAACACACTCTCGGCACAATCAAATTATTCCCAATGTAATCCAGCCATTTCAACATTTATTCCGCGCATTTGTTACAACTTAATGTAATGCGCCTAAGGCCCGCCTTGGGCAAATCAAACTTAGTCCTCATTCTTTCATTGGTACGGGGTCACTAGATAGGATTTATATAAGTCCTAAATAACCCCTAAAAATGCCTAATTCCTTGCCATCAACCAATGACTCAACTAAGTATTCAACTTGGACAAATTGCACAAATTCGGTACTCAATGAACAGTACCAGGGGAGGACACATTTTGTCCACTAAACCACAGTTAAACACCCTCATTAGGCTCTAATCTCAAACCCCAATCACCCAACAGCCAAATACACTTAATTAAGGTTCAAATAAGCCTAATTAGTCCCCAAAATGTCCAAATCCAAGTCATTGGCACTTGAACTCAATTAGTGAAACACTTAGACAGAATTACACAAATTCGGTGCCCCATGAACAGTACCAGAACAGAGGGCTGTTTGGGCCTTAATCCACCATTAAACTATCTCATTAGGTCCTAATGACCTATACAAATCACCCCACACACAATTAAGCCTAATTAAACCCCAATTAGGCCTAATTAACCCCTAAAAATGCACAATTAGACTAATTAAGGGTTTAGGGGTTTATACTCGCCTATTAATGACTCGGGACGACGAGAACAGGCGGTCGATCACCGACGCGCGGTAAGGATCGACGGCGGCGTCCCGGATGCAAGCCGGCGGTCACGGCGACGACGGGAACGACGATTCGCTGCTGGAATTTACTGATTGGGGCTGGAAACGGGGCTGAGGGTGGCTGATCAGGTGAGAGGAAGGTCCAAGGGTGTTGTGGCGGCGGGTACAGTGGTGGCCGGCGGCTCCGGTAGTGTTGTTCGGCGTGAACGTATCGGGATGAGCGTAAATGCCCACGGCAGAACCAGAAACGGAAACAAAAAGGGAGAAGAATTTGGGGGAGCTCTCGGCAGAACAAGGAAATGAGAGAGAGAGAAGACAATCTGGTCAAATGGGTCAAATTTGGTCTTAGTGCAGTCCAAGTGTCTCAATCTAGTGCCTTAGGACAATTTTGCCCCTAATCCAAGGGCCCAAATTTGATCCAATCCAATAATTTAGGGGCCCTTTTGTCATTTGTCCTTAACCCAAGCTGACCAGACCTGATTTAGCCCTAATCAACCTTGGTTAACCCCAAAATTTTGACCAAAATTCGGAATTAGCCAAATTAGCCCTCGGGGCATTTTCGTAATTTTTCGATCCCGAACCAAAATTCCAATTTTTGTCCATACC